TGGAGATGACCCCGAGCATTCCTTATTTATTTTGATATACTCATATAATTCACTGGAAGGAAGATATTGAGGGTGGTGAGTTTTTAAAATGCCACCCTGTATAGTGAAAATAAGTATACATCAATTGTTTGAAGCAACATATTCAGGGGTCCATTTCCTATACAGGGTGTTTCAAAAAACCCTAACCCCCTTGCTAGGGTAGGTAGAACATTGAAAAATAAGTTGGGTTTGCTCAGTGAAAAAATGTAACGGCATCCGTTTTCATGATACAAAGTGTTGAAAAAATTATTTTTTTACACATTTTTCACGATTATTCCGAAACTACTGGCACCATTGCAATGAAATTTTGTATGGATGTTTCTTAAAATCTGACACATCGCATGAATTCGTTTTTATATCTGACTCTCATAGAGGGCGCTAGTTACACGGTTCGTACCGAGTAGTTTTGAACATAACTTCTTTGAGGTTAGATTTTTCGATCCAAATATAATATGAACTTGAACATAATTCAATTTTATACCAAAAAGGTACTCTTGGTGAAACTCGATGCTATGTTCCGTTTGCGAAATATTTCGATTTGAGAATATTGGAGTAGTAATGATGCTGGTATAAAATGAATGTTATTGAGTTCAATTAGTACTAATCATTCACAATTCGATTACTTGTAATGGATTATGATATTTTCATTTCATATTTTATTATAATTCTTTTTTTTTTAGGAAACACAATAATTGTGCAATTATTATTGTTTCTATTTATTATGTTTTATAATATGTATGTTTTGTTGTATATATCCCTATTATAAACAATAATGTTTCTTGGGGTAATAAAGACAATCAAATTACCTATTTATTCAGGTTCAAAAACAGTTACCACTTCATCATTTTCAAATCGAAATATTCCGAAAACGGAACACAGTATCGAGTTTTACCAAGTGTACCTTTTTGGTGTGAAATTGAATGATGTTCAAGTTCACATCAAATTTGGATTGAAAAATCCAACCTCAAAGAAGTTATGTTCAAAACTACTCGGTACGAACCGTGTAACTAGCGCCCTCTATGAGAGTCAGATATAAAAACAAATGCATGCGATGTGTCAGATTCCAGGAAACATCCATACAAAATTTCATCACAATGTTGCCAGTAGTTTCAACATTATCGTAAAAAATGTGTAAAAAAATATTGTTTCAACACCTCGTATCTTGAAAACGGATGGCGTTACGACATTTTTTTACTGAGCCAACCCAACTTATTTTGCAATGTTCTACCTACCCTAGCAAGGGGGTTAGGTTTTTTTGAAACACTCTGTATAACCGAAAGTTGCAGACAACTGAATTTATTTCAACTCAAACTACTGACGTAATGTCAGCAACACAGCTTTTGAACATTATATAAACATGTTGCTATAACACCTAATCGTCTATCCACTCGACGGTATTCAAATCATTTCTGGGCGGTAATCAAAGGGTAGTGCACATCAATGTTTTCCCTCGGGACACATGATATAACAGACCACGTGAACATTTCACCATAAAAGTAATTTCTGTAGGATAATCAAAGTTTAGGAGGCAAGATGAAGCAATGAACTTGGAATTGCTTTCCATTCGAGACTCACATAGCCGTAGATAATTTTATAGATGAAAGAAGTATATACAGCAGATTCGGATTTTGGAATAATTTGTTCCTACTGGCCATATTTCCGCCATTAAGTGCAAAAATCTTCAAATTTGTCAAATAAAACTGATAGATAGTAGCTTTCATGCACGACTAGGCGTAAAGTAGCACTTTACCGCCCGGTTTTGCAAGGGTAAGGTGGCATTTTACTCGTAACTCTTATAATAAGTATTCCTGTATAATTCAGGTAGGACTTCAATGTTCTAATTGTGATTGTTCCTTATCCAATATAACAGCTCTCTTGATATTTATTTTACTATTTCGAGAAATTGACTGAGTTACCATGGTAACTTTGATTCCATTAATGATATTTCTCACTGCAACCATGATATTTTTCTATCGTGCTTGAGAGATTGAGAGGTATTGACAATGAAAGATCAAATATATACCCGTCGTGCATAATAGATAGATAGATAGATAGATAATTTATTGATCTTTTAGGTGTACATGTGATACAAATAAGACAAGTCAAGATTCGAAAAAAATGAGGTACAGATAAAAATCTTAAGTATTAGAAACATATTGAAAAAGTTGCACAAATACAGACATATTAAAAAAAAAATATTAAAAAAATATACATATATGTAAATTGCCTATATTCAATAAAAAAAAATACACTATAGATAGTATCATTATTGAGCACTAGACCTAAGGGCAGCCATATATTCATCTATGGAGTAGAGGGCATTCGAAATTAAGAAATCTTTCAAATGTTTTTTAAAGTTGTATGAATTAAGATTTTTTACACATACATACAGGGAGTGCATTGTAGAGATTCACATCCAGAGAATTTTTGCAAGATTTATGCAATCTGAATCTGTTTGGCCTGATCAATTGACAGCTCCTGGTGGGATAATCGTGAAAGTCAGAATTTTTTCCGTAATCTTCTTTATTTTTATGAATATCCAACAAAAGTTGGTATATGTAAATAGATGGTAGCGTCATGATTTTTAGGGATTTAAAGAATGGTTTACATGAATCAGCGTAGCCAGCACCAGCGATAATTCTTATTGCTTTCTTTTGAAGAATAAATATTTCAATGGCTTTTGTGCTATTGCCCCATAAAATTGTTCCATATGAAATTTGGGAGTGGAAGAATGCATAATATGCTGATAGCAGTGCCTGAACGCCAATAATATTCTTCAGTTTTCGGAGAAAGAATATATATTTGGAGATTTTATTACTAAGCTGCTCCATGTGAACTGACCAGTTCGGTGTGTCATCTAGAAAAATGCCCAACAATTTGACTGAGTTCTTGTTAGAGACAATTGGAGAAAAATAGATTTGTTGAGTTTTATTCGAATTCAACATCAAATTGTTTCTTCTAAACCATGATGCCGCTTTTCCTTGGGCCAGATTAATTTCATTTAAAAGCATTTGTCTATCCTTACCAGACGTGGTAAGGGTGGTGTCATCAGCAAAAGCAATACAGCCATAGGGAGACATGTAAGTGAAGAGGTCATTGATATAAATTATAAAAAGGAGAGGGCCCAAAACAGATCCCTGTGGTACTCCACATTTGATGAGTTCCAACTCAGAAACATTATTCGAATCAAGTGCAACACATTGCTGTCTATTTGATAGATATGATTTAAATAGAGCAAGAGCTACCCCTCTTATACCATATACTTCAAGTTTACTGACAAGAATTGAATGAGATACACAATCAAACGCCTTGGTCAGGTCACAAAGAGCAGCCACAGTGTGCTCTCCTTTTTCAAAGCCATCGATTATAGTGTCAATAACCTTCTTCAGTGCATGTATAGTTGATGTCGATTTTATGAATCCAAACTGATTTGGATTGAATAGATTATGTTTAATGTAGTAACTATAAAGGCGAGTTTTCAATAAGATTTCAAATATTTTTCCAAAAATAGGAATTATCGATATCGGACGATAATTTCCGATTTCATTCGCATTTCCTTTTTTGAAAATAGGAAGAATTCGTGCAATTTTGAACTCATCTGTATTTTACTCAATAGTATTTTATTCAACAAGCATAATTATAATAATAGCTCATCATATGCGAGTAGAATACTATACTTCTACTATTGTTTTTGATATATAAATTTATGTTCAACAACTGTTTTATCTTAACTCACTCGACATTAGGAAGACCAAGAATTGAAGATACCTTTTATATTAATTATTTGTCCATGACTGCTGTACTTCCTCAAACGAAACGATAGCCATTTTTCACACCAGTGAATAATAGCAGTTCAAAAAAACAAGCAATATTATTCAGGAGCTTGTAGGGTGGATTACAGGGAGAGGATAATTGGTATCAGACAAGAATTAAAATTTAATTCTTCACGATCTACGATTTTCTCTTACCGTTCCTCTGGAATAGATATGAGTGATGCCACTATGTCCAGAAATTCACTGTTAAAAATCGTAGGGAGATACCTATCACTAATAATAATCCATGATTTCTCCTTACAACAGTATGTTGTGGTAATTCTTATATCTTCACTTAGTAGCCACTTTCTTTTTGATATTTCATGCTCCTGAGCAGCCCAGTGTTTGTAGCACTTGAGCTACCGCCAAATAGAACGCATTTTAGTGAACTTTCACAATGATTCAACACACCATCATCAACATGAGATTACAGTACATCATAAATAGTATGATACACAGGCTAGTGAATGTCCCTCTTTCAGAAGAAAATTTCAATAAATAACTCAATATCATAAAACAAATTGCAGTCAATAACAGATACAACGTTGATTTGATAGACAGTATTCTTTCCAAAAAGCTATTCAAGAAGTTCATCCCACCATCAGAAATAATATTCAAAATTTTTACCGTGGCTTCAAGCACTAACGAAAAAGAACGCGTTCCTGCCTATTTTTCATGCTCTGGAGTTGCTCCGGTGTTACCCACACAGTCAAACAGAAAGTGGCTACTGATACACAGGAATAGAAGAAATCCCAAGAAAATCTTTAGAGTATTGAATATTTCACCTCCTCCATTAACCTACAGACAGCATATTTATTAAAATAATTATTATATGAACACTTGGTATAGAATAAAGACCTTCTAGCGAATATTTGAATCTGCGAAGGAAATTACCATTGAGTGAAACAGCTCACAAAGAAGCGCTCGTTCTCTTGTAATATTTCTGACACATTGAATTTTATTAATATTTGGAATACCAATTGGGTTTGACCTATCGATGGATAATTTCACATACAAATTCAAAAAACCCTTATTCCAGGCTCAACATGGCTCTTAATGACCACTATGAAACATTCGCATCGAGATCGTTATTATTGTTCATCAGCTCATCACTCACATGCTCTATTTTAATTATTCTTTCTCTCTATCTCACTTTCTTCTCTCTTTATCCTCTCTTCCTCCTCTTTTGCTCCTCTCTTTCTCCTCTCTTTCTCCTCTCTTCCTAGTGCTCTTTTGGCCTATTAGCTTTATTTTCAATTCACAGCTTTGGTGGAAGATCAGATGAGAATTATTCGCATTCTGAACGAAAAGCCCTTCGCTCATCATATATGTGAATATATGTACCACTGTATACCGATATATGTGAACATATATGGTCTCCAATGAATGTATTATTATTTTTATAGTTCAGTTACGCCAATGGAAATTTAGTAGCCAATATATTCATGAAAATTGATTTCTGGAGTAATTGCAAAGCCTCCTGAAGATGCTGAAATTGGTTTGAATAAATTGAAAATGTTAAGCTTCAACTTTTTCAATGACTATTTGCGTTCTACGACTTGATAATAGTTCATATTATGTTCTAAAATGAGCTACTGAATTGATTCGTAGAATGTCATAATAAATAGCCATCTTTAATAAAAATACGTAAATAATCGGCGGATTAGCGCAGAAATCAGAACATTGAAGGGTTGATAGACCGTTTCCCGACAGAGCAGATAAAGAGTTATAAAGTCCAATTTCCGTAGCCTAGGCCAAAGATGATTCCGCGCGACTCACTGTTGCGTTGTAATCAACAGTGCTAATCTCAAGGTGGCGTATGGAGTCAGTTATAAAGCCTGGCCAGTTGACATATAGACACATACCAATGAAGTACGTTTTATGAATACAGTTGGTCCACGTTGAGGATTTACCAACCCTGTAAAATCTTTATTATTTGATCGATTTCAAAGACTTCATTTCTGTTCAGAATGTATATCCAAGAATAGAGTGATTTTATTTATTGCTAACTGCAACCAATTTTATTTATTCATATTACAAAAAGTGATATCAAGTATTTTTTTAACAATTAAGGAAATAATAATCAGTATTTCCGGACAACTTATGTTTAATGATGATGAATATCGGTGAAGGTATATTTCTTCGAAAGATCCTGATTCAGAATCAATCATTATTTTTTTAATAAAGAATTATCATGATAAGATATTATATTGCTGATGTACTTATCCTTTTTTTTTATTCTCAGATACATTGTATGATGAAATTTGATACCTTTAGTCATAATATGTTTGATACGATCCTCAATATTAGTTTTCTACAAAAATGCCACAGTACTACATTTTCCGATCACATATCCAAAATATTCATAATTATTTTTGTTCGACACCATGTGTTTTATGATGTTGAAAATCAGTACATGTATGTTTCAAGTGATCCTAATTCATACATCATCTTTTTTTGTAAAAAAATACCTAGCAGTATTTTTAAAATATGGGTCAATGAGATTGGTCGCAGGTGGCCACGATAAGAATAAAATCACGTTCTTGTTGGATAACATTTCAAATACCTATCCAACTTAAAAAAGTCTCAGATCAGATAATAAAGATTTTACAGAGGTGGTAAATACTCAACGTGGACACCCTGTATGAATATGAGTGGATAACATTGAGCTAGAAGAAAAAAATCAGATACTCAATCGATAGAAACATTCTGCTCAATGTGAAGTAAAATAATAGTGTGGAACAATGTTATTTTCGTAAATATATTTTTCTATTATTATATTTAATTATTCAATAGAGTGAAATAATTCATTAATTTGAAGTGAATATAATAATGTCAAAATTTCAAAATGTTCAAGATCCTACTCCTATATACTTTGTTATGTGTTCTGGTTTCGTTGTGATGATATTCATAATATTCGCTGTTTCTTTCAGAATTTCTAAAATGCAGGATCTCTTCCATCTCTTCAGCAGATTGCTTATGGTTTTCTTGGTAGCTTCCATGGTTGCAGTCAGTGCAAGACGAATGGATGATAATACTTTGTCAGAAAATAGCCAGGTCGGTATAGAACCCTATATAACATTGATTTTTAAGTGATTTTTCATTGACTGAAAACCAAAAGTTGACAGATCAATATTAGCGTCTTAATTTCTTGGTGTGCTTGGATTGATATCATCATTATAATCAGGGGTGAATATATAAGATATGATTTTTTCATCGATAAATACATGTTTGATTTAATAAAAGTTTTATTGTCATGGCAAACAATGAAGAATCAAGGGAGTGAAAAAACCGCGAGAGCATGCTCGAGCGATTTTTTCTACTACTTGATTCGAGATTTTTTTTGCCAGAGGACAACAATATTTGAATGCAATTTGTAATGTATTTTATCTGATGGAAAAATGTCTTGAATGTATTTTATAGAGATCAATACACAACTACATTAGGAAAACAATCAAGTTTGAAAGTTTGAAAAGGAAAATGTCTCAGGTTGTTGATCAAGTTAGCATGATGTACCTTGTCTAACTGCAAATAAGGACCTAAAGACTTTGCATTTGCATGTCCAGTCATTTTGATTAGCTATTCTTCCGGGCAACCTGACTTGGCAAGATTTGATACAGCACTTGATCGATTTGAATGATTCGTGATTCTTATTGTAACAGTATCAAGAGCCCTATCCTTTCCGTAAATTACATTTTCCAATCTCATTCACCCCAATTGGCATATTCTGGTACCATCCAGAAACGGTTCCATCCCAGTAATGATTCACAGTAAGAAATAGACGGAATGACGTGATTCTAGTAGTTCGTTTAGTGATAAGTTTTGAATATTCATATTGATTCTGTTTGAAAGAATATAACTCATAACAAAGGGAAGGTGCATAAAGCAAGATAGCTTTTTTATCACTACAAATGGTGATTGGTCGGTTTTACGAAATTGAGGAAATCTTATTGGTTCTTGGAATAATCGTGTATTAATCGAAATAATATAAATTCATCACTTCACTATACTGAAATGAGCAACTGAAATGATGTCTTCAAGAAAAACGAAACTTGTTTTACTTCTGTACTTATATGAACTTAATGAATTGAATTTGAGTGAAACAGTTCCAAAGGGAATCAATGAAGGGAGCTGTGTTTCGTCGTGTGAACTTCTTTAATTAAATTCGTACAACGCTTTCGGTGATTATGTCATCATCGGTATTAAAGTAATTACGTCACTCACAATGAAGAAAATCACCGTTTCGATAAACTTTTTGATATAACACCTGGCATATATTTAATTCGCTTCGAAGCTGAGATAGAGTATTCATAATATCCGCTGATTCATGAAATATGATGGGTTGTCGGATTGAAGAATTTGATTGGTTAACTCTTCTAGAAGTTGTATATTTTTTTCATCTTTTGGAGCGCATTAAATTTAATCTCTATTATGTTCGAGCAGCATAGTGGGTACCTAGAAAAAATAGAGAGAAATCGAAAGTTCAAGATGGCGAATCCAATATGGATAAGGTGGACAAGTTTTGTAATTATGATCCGATTCTATTCAAAATTGGTATATCTTTGAGTGTTTGGGGGCAGAGATTATGAATATTTCGTCAATACTTGGAAATTCAAGATGGGAGATCCAATATGGCGAACGAGTTTTGTAATGATGGATCGATTCTATTCGAAATTGGTATTTGGGGTTTTCGGGGTCGGAGATTATGAATTTTTTGTCAAAATCTGGGAATTCAAGATGGTGGATCATCTATGGCGGACGAGTTATATAATTATGATTCGCGATTCTACTCAAAATTGGTATCTGGGTGTTTTTTTGGTCGCAGATTTTGATTTTTTCGTCAAAGTTTGGGAATTGAAGATAACGGATCCAATATGTCGGACGAGTTTTGTAATTATAATCCGATTCTATTCGTAATTTGTATCTGGGGGTTTTCGAGTTCGGAGCAGATTATGATCTTTTCCTAAAAATCGAGGAATTCGAGATGACGAATCCACTATGGCGAATGATACTTATGTTATGAATTGTTGTTTGAAGAACTATAATGAAACACATATTCATAGATAGCCAAACTTGAGAGGAGTAAAAAAATAGTATATTTTAAAAATCGAAAGAGACAGATTGATGAACTAAAAAGAAGTAGAAAATAAATAGTAGTTTGAAAAATCGAAGAAACAAGATTTTTTGAAAAAGCAAACTGAAAAGAAGTGGAAACCAAAATAAAACAGTGTGCTGATAAATATTGAATTTGAAAAATATTTTCTAGAAATAACTGTATAAGTATAGCAAAACAACGTTTGCCGGGTCAACTAATGATCACCCAAAATCTTGAGCGCTAAATATATTCGAGCCCAGCTTGCACAAATTGAATTCACTCCAATTATTCTTGCAAAGTTCTAATTATTCAGATTTCAGAGTAGTTGATATCATTTCTTCGTATTCATAACTACGATGTTTCAAATTTAAATGTTTTAGTGAGGTATTCCTCATATATTGAGATTTTTATTGTGGTTCTGAGGAGGGGAGGGGGGGTAATAGTAAAAAAGTAGCTCAAGTGGGTGTGACGTGTGACTAAATAAACAGAATGCATCGACAAATGAGAAATCTTATTTGAGCTTGGTTCATCGCTGGTCGATTTTGGGTCTGAGGGTGCCAGCGATGAAAGGTGATGATGATATTATTGATGGTCAATTTTTTTATTGGTCAGCTATCAGCTACCTTCATCACTAGCATTGCTGGAGCTAAAATCACCCAGTAATTGACCCCCTGCCCTAGATGTCGCTGTTTCCATGTTGTCCACGAAACGCTGCAAAGATTCCGGAAAGATTCAATTCATTGTACTGCGTGACATTAACCAGGAAAGCTGTCGAACTTTTTCCGTCATCTACCACAGCATAATGACATATGGACTGATAGTATGGGGTTCATCATGTCATTCAGATATAAAATTGAAATTACAAAAAAAAGCCTTCAGAATTATGGCACAGGTTGAATATGATGACCATTATAAACATTTGTTAAAAAAATCTCCATATCTTGACTCTGAGATCTTGCTTCATAAATGAATGTTTGTGTTATGTCAAAAAATTAAGAGTGAAAATAAAGTTACCAGGCAGTAGGACAAACACCACCATGATACCAGGGCCAAAACAAAGTTGAGAATACCAAAATATAGGATGAGTAAATCGCAAAACTCATATTTACATCTATCTTTGAAATTTTTCAATGAGTTTCAATCTCCTGACATGAGTATAAGCACTTTCAGAGTAAAAATCAAGAACATTCTTTTGGAAAATGCCTTTTTTACATCTGGAGAATATTTTGTTCATTTCGAACGTTCAACTAATTCGTTAACTGCCTAATAACAGATATTTTGTGTACTGCTATATCTTTGATTTTACGTCTGTATTCTTTGCTAAGAGTTGGGTATTTGACTGTATATTCACTGTACAATGTTTTTATTTGTTGTAGTTATATACTAATACTATGTATCACTATTGACATATGTGAACACTTTATGTATGTACTGACGAATAAATTTCTATTCTATTCTACCCTTATTGTTGTTCAACTAATTGAACACAATATGTGGCAATGACTATGAGTTTCGTCTCATTATGAACATTTTGGTTATCTTATAGTTGAATTTTCATCGTTTTTCAGTTGATTGCCGATCCAGAGACCAACCAAATAGATTCTGGGCTCAAGCAACTGCAAATAGAACTGCTCGCACAACGTTTGGCCGAAATGAACAGCCCTATAGGGTTCCAGCGCGATCTGAGGAGTGAAACGGAACGGAAACGCCGCTTTCGCGCATGCTATTTCAACCCTGTCAGCTGCTTCAAGAAGTAAACCGGAATTCAGTTGTTTATTTTCATGTCAATTTGCAAACAACTCTGAGGATTTTGGTTAAGGAGGCATATAAAGTCTATCAAAATTTTTTGTTCTATCGATGATTCGGCTGTTATTCTTGATGGAAATCCATAGTGAAAGTAAGAAACTTCACAAGCTTTAGGATATTCATAGGAGTCTTGGAAACACGATATGTTTTTCTAACAGAGCAGTTTCTTCAAGTGAAGTAATGGTACAATGTATTCTGATGAAGAAGCTACTAAAGTGTAAGAGAAACATGTCGCATGTTGCGTTTTTAATGGATTCTATATGAAGATCTTTTCGTTTGTGAAGTTTTTAATCTCTCGATGTGTTGGTTTGTAATTCAGAATAATTAATTCGTAATAATTTCAAGAGTTACGTATAGGGATGTACAAATTGCAATAAATGGAATATTGTTTCATATACTGTAGTGAACAAAATTCAGCAGGATTTGGAGAAATAAATGCATAAATTCATATCACGTATCAGATATGCAAGCAAAATCTATAGGTATATAGAATTACAAGTTCAATTGAAATTTGATCTTCAACATGCCTAAATTGCAAGTACTTTTTGCGAACCATGTTCGCTCAAAATTTTTTATCTGATTTGGTAATTTCAAGTTATGAAGATAACATATTTGACTCTACTATGAGTTGGCATCAGAACTCTTTGTTTTTTGTCAAAATATAAATGAATTAAATCGTACAGACTACAGACTACAGAAAAGGTTGCATATTCTGATTTCATGGTTCGAAACTGAATTACCAGTTCAGTAAACGAACAAAAAATAGAAGGAAAAAATCGTGTAGTCACAAATTTTTGTAGAGTGATATGGGATAGTACCATGAACAACATACTGAGAATCAGTTATCCTTATTGCTCGAGTCAGGTTCCCTAGAGTCTGCTCTTTGGTCATATCACACCAAACTCCTTCCCAACGTATAGCTCTTATCTGCATGATCCCACTACAAAAAGTCACTTCTGCAAACTCTTCTAATGACGAGCAGATTCCGGCTGCTCCAGCAGACCCACAAACCGACTCCGGTGGAGCAGAATCAGTTATTCCTATTCCTCGATTCAGACCACCTAGAGTCTGCTCTATGGTCGTATCTGACCAAACTCCTGCAGTTCAATTTATGGTCGAATAGCTCTTATCAATGCAAGCATGTTAGACACGTAAATGTGGGCATATTTTGTATTTAGAAAGTGAACATTCGTATGAATATCATATCATGTTCTAAACACAGGCCAAGTTAGAGACCATTCCAATCACCACAGCGCCTAGAATATATTAACTTTGTCACCAATGATCCCATGTCGAAATACTGCACCACTCATACCAGTGAGAACCTAAAATTCATCAGTAGTACCTACTGAAGCGATACTGAACAGCATATTTTGCCGATATATTCTCCTGGATGTGGGGGACGATATGGGTGCCAAAAAGCTGGATTTCCATGCTGCTTGGTGTACGGCATGTGGCCATGGTACGTGTTTACGAATGGTGCAACGTTGCTGGATATGGAAAATGATGACGAAGAAGAAAGATCATGGAATGTATACATTCAATGTGTTTGTTTCCAATGAGTATTCATGGCACTTCCGTTTACCACTGTACGAAAATTTGCGACTACACAATTCTTTTCCCATTTCGACCTTTTTTGGCGTTTGTTGATTGAACTATACCCAAATGTTCTGAACTTTTAGAATTATTGTAGAATTTGTCAATCCTAATAATCCCTTTGAATCACTGGTCGAGTGGGCTAAAATTTGTAAAATCTAGCCCGACATTATTGAAATTTTCATTAGGTTAGCCTTAGGTTTTTTCGAATTCCGGTTCCAAATTCAGAGATTTTTTTTCGTTTTGTTGTACAGCTCTCGATCTGACTCAGCTACTTATGAGCCCTCTTCTACCAAAATACCACGCAGTTGAAATATCCCAATATTTATGTAATATATCCAATGTTAAATGTCAAATTATTTTTAATTCCAGAATTTAAATAAACGTTCGTAATATACGGAAATAATCTGAAGATTTGTTGAATTTTTTTATTTCTCAACCTTCTTCAATATTCGAGAGGAGCAGTAGATATTCTTACTTGTATGAAAGTATATATTTGTTTTATGTCCTTGAATTATACACAAAAAAGTGTTACCAAATTTGCAATTGGACATTAGAAAGACATAAATTCACACGAGTAGAGTCCAAGATTGGTTCCATTAGTTCCTACAAAATCAGTTCAGAATATTGAACACTCTATCAATGATAGACGGAAAATTTTACATTTCCATAATGTATTATCAACATGTAATAAGATTTTCCTGTACAATTTATTTTTGATTTCAACTGATTCAAAAGCATTCAAGCAAGGTAAGGTATAACGAATTGAAATATATAATTCAAATAATTAAATTGTATATTTTTACTCAATAAAAAGTTTGTCATCGAATGTACAAATATAAATAGTCCGTAATATAAACACACAATTCAAACTAATTATACTAACATTATTGATAATTTCTTTATTTACAATATCCATTTGTGGGTCCTGGAGTCATCTTCCATTTTTACAAGTGAAAAAAGACAAATGCATTGAGCAATATCATTATCACACTCAATGTATTCAATATAGTTTACTTACATTCATTGATACATAATTATGAAAAATATTTTCATGCACTGACTGTTTCGAGTCTGTGACATTTCCGCAACAATAATTTATATATTTACAACAGTTTATTTGGAAATACATATTTGTAGATGTTAGAATATATTCAAGTATAGGTAGGTACCGATATGTTGTATAGGTATGTGAAAAAAATGAGTATATAGTAGTCGATACTTCGGATACTAAGTTCCTAATTTTGAAAATGATCTTGATATAAAATTCACACTTTTTTTTGACTAAACGAATATCCATATGAGTACTCTTCAATACCCATACCATTATGAACTCATCATATATTCATATATTTTTCAAGACATTATCGAAGAAATATTCACATATCGAGAATATGTACTCCATAAATTTTGGTTCACCTCCGAATTATACTTTCCAAGAAATGATTTTCAAGTAATTTATAGTCTTATAGTTTGTCTGGTCTGAGAGAAAACTTGAAAATATGAAACATCTGAGTTTTTGTTAGAGCGTACTCTATATTATCAAGAAGCAGAACATCTTTGCTTTTCATCTGTAGCCAACTTATGAGCAGGCAAATATATTGCGAGTAAGGGAATACCCATGAAAATTGGGTCTGAATAAAATTCCAGAAATAATAACAGTATTGTTATTTCATTTTCAATTCACAATCTATGATGAGATCGATATTTCCTGAGTCAATTTGAAATGAAATCTTCACTAACTAAATAATAGGAGTATTATGAATCCCACTATTGATGACATCTACTCGTCTTTTCATGTGAGAAACAACTTGCAGTGATTCGAACTTCTGCAACTCATAAGTGGCAAAAATTTTAAATTCTGTTATTTGCATTACCGCAACTTATAAGAAGCGAAATTTCGAATTGATTTTTGAATGAATATTGATTTCGAACATTTGTTTCTAGCAAACTAGGACGTGCTATGGAATTTGGAGTTTCGAATCGAAACAAGATTTATCAAAATCAGAACATTGTTTCCGTCATTTCATATATGCATCAATGTTGAAATTGAAGTATGATAATTCTTTCAGTGCCTATCTGATGTGTAGACCTGACTAATATCTGGTATCAACGTAAGTTCTGAAGAGTGAACCCACCATGATTTATTTCATCATTATCTTTAGTGGCCGTTGAAATATTTTTTGGATTTGACGCTTTTCACTTATGGAGATCGAACAGCAAAAGGTTTGGTCTCTTCAATGTCTGTAAAACTGTAAATATCCTGAGCAGAGGAGGCAAATGGAAAAACTATTGCAACTGCCACCAAGATGCTACGTTCGTTTATTGTACAGGTTCATCCAGAATAACGTTCGTATACTCCGGAAGGCAATTCTTCAAATGAAAGTAAAATGAAATGATTAGATCTTGAAAATCGTTTCGTGGTCCGTTAAACATGATTTAATATACAGGGACGTGTGGAACTCGTAACTAATGCTATGAAAATGAAAAAGGTTCATCATATTTCTTCTACCAAAATATTATTCTTCAAACACTTATGAGCGTTTCCGAACATATGTATACTCATCTGGACAAGTCATATTAGAATATTGTGAGGAATAACTTCCTGAAGATTGTCAAAGTACTCTTAAATCATTCTGTAGAAACCCTATAATTTGTTCCGAAGTGCCTATCCATCATATCTGCTGTGTAGGCTTGACTATCTCTATCTTGAAACAAAGACTCAATTTGAATATGAATCGCAAACTACTTATCAAACTTACATACAATATTGCATTATTCACTAACAAATAAATACTACAAACTAAACGTTGAGACCCTTCTTCGCCCAAGTTGATAGAACTGATGATTATTCACATAGGAGGTTGTCATCGATCAGAAAATGCGCTGAGGAGAAGTGGTAATTCAAGATGTCCAAAATGAATTTTTCTGGATATGACCATCATAGTGCGAATTATCACGCTCCCTTACCGCGTTTCCAGAATGAGGCAACTAGGGTCCCTTTATGCAAATTAACGCATTTGTCATCTATCAATAGACTATCTATCACGAGAATACTCGTTAGAATATTTAGTTGATGTGCTGAATATAATATATACACATATCACTGGCGCACCCAGGGGGTGGGCTTTAGGGCTCGAGCCCCCCCCAAGACAAAGTGTCAGAAAAATATTCAAATATTTTTCGCAAATATCAGTGTCGTTCGTAACAGAGTAATAATCAGGTTTGCCTAATTCTTGCAATCCTTCTTGAAATCCTGGCAAAATTTCCAATCTTGTCAAAATTTCCATTTTGATAAGCGAATTCCGTTTATGGAATTATAAGTTCAAGGAAATCGATACCCGGCCACTAAATGCCATGCAATGCTACATAGTTTGTGATCAAACTTTATATCCTAATATAAATATACTCCTAAAAATTTTTGTAACACTTCCCATAACTACCAGTACGGCTGAAAGGTCATTCTCATCATTGAGAACATTGAAAACTTACTTAAGAAGTACTACTGCGCAAAACCGGCTGAATGGTCTGGCATCACTTTTTATTCATAAAGATATATCGGTGTCTCCTGAGGAAATATTAGATAATATGACTTCTAAAAGAAGGAAACTAGATTTTTAAGAATTGTTAATTTTGCACAAAATGTTTTCACCTTCAGAATGATTTTTTAATAGAAATTACATATGTATCATTTTGTTTATCATTGTTTTTCATTTTCCCAGAATTGAACCCTAATTTATATATTTTACTATTTTCATTGGCTTCTATGAGCCCCCCCCCAAGAGAAATTCCTGAGTGCGCCAGTGACACATATTATTATGAATGTTGTCTTTCCCATCCATGCAAGAGTGTGCATATTTTGTGGCGCAAATAATAATTTACTTCACTTATCATTAGTTGCTAGAGTCAATATATACAGGGTGTTCGACCGACAACGCTTGACAGGTGATAGTCCTCGTGATTTCATAATCACTGAGATAGGGACATTAGGTCTTCAAGTGTTCAGTTCTCGAGATACAGGGCGTTAAAGTTGAGATATTGAAATAATGCATTCAACTTCGGTATATAGTTTCATCTTTCAATGGGTCATTTTTTGACCAGGAAGCCATTCCGGACAGTTTTTCCAGTGGTGCCCTACAGGGGGTTGTGGCAGCTTTTCCTCCCATATTTTCTACGCCACTGATCAAACTTCGATTATTTTCAATTCCACGAATTCATTGTTCAATTTTGTTCAGAAAATGCATCACCTTCAATTCTTCTATTTTGGTTCAAATATCTCGATAACTGTTCATTTTAGCTCAGTTGGAGAAGATGCATTTCTTCAACATAATTGAACAATAGATTCGAGAAATTGGAAATAATTGAAATTTCATCAGTGGCGTAGAACATATGGGAGGAAGAGTTATCACAACCCTCTGTAGCGCACCTCTGGATACAATTCTCGGAATGTCTTCCTGGTCAAAAAATTAACCATTGAAAGAAGAAACCATATACCCAATTAGAATGCATTATATTGAATTTTTCTTGAGATATTGCGAAAAAACTAGGCGTAGCCGAGTTAAGAAATAGTCGAGATGACCAAAGTATTTCGCGCTCGAGTTGCAAACATTCTTTCTACAATCATCAAAAAATATAGCTCTAAAGTGAAAATATGCTTAGCTTGATGTAAAAAATAGTGTTGAACTGGCAAAAAAGGCCTCCCGAACATAATAGGAATTTCCTTTCGTGCGCTCCAAGAGATAAAACAAAGTTATTGTTGAACATTCAGAAATATATGATTTTTTGTATGTTTGCTCGATTAAAGACCATGAAGTTGGAATATAAATATCTCATATATTTTACATAACAATGCGCGAAGTAGGTATCATGGTAACGTAGGAAACTGAATGAAAGTGTCACTTCGCAATTTGTCATCAATGCGCGAACCTTGTAATTTTTGAAAGTTTGTAGAAAAAATATAATATTAGCCAAAACCATATTATACACAGGAAGTGCCGTTCTGGTAGAGGGTATCTCGTTGGGCTTCAAGAACTTATAACTAACGGGCATAACGGACTTAGGAACGGAGGACATTTCTTGTTCAGCATGATTTGATCTATCCAATCCTAGATTTTCACAAGATTTCACCGTAGGCAAGATTTCAATGTAAATGCTGCGGGGTCTTTTGTTGTCAATTCTCAGAGTTCTACTATATAAGATGAGAAATACGTCAATTTGCATGAAGGAGCCTCAGAGGCAACCGTCCCCCACGAATAATCATCAATTCTACCGACCTTCTTCCTCGGAACACCCCGCGCCATCTGGCGGAGCTCAGGACGCCCCCCCGGAGTCGGAGTTACTGGCGCCGTGCTCCGGCGACCTGCTGCCGTGGCAGTGGCTGCAGTGCAGGCACACGCCGCAGGAGCCCAGCCGCTTCGCTAGCATAGAGCGCAGCTTCAGCGCCGGCCCCAGCTTCATGCCCATCGTGCTGGTGAGGTGGTCTTCGGTGAGCAGCGGTAGCCCTGCGCCGTCTATCCGCTGGTCGCGGAAGGTCTGGAAAGAGAGAGAGACGATTTTTTATTAACAGTCCGCAAACATCAGAGGCATGCGTAGTGACATAGAAGTGTTCGCGTTTTCTCGGGACCGTTTCGTATTCCACAGATCACGTGTTCTCATTTCTTACGAACTAGTTTGGGATATTGAAGAGGAATATTCTCAGATATAATTATGAACATGGTGGCAGAAGAGCTTTTCAACAATTCATAGCTAGAATTCAGAGAAATCCAAGCTCAATCATTGTTGAATGATTAATAGAAGCCTAATTTATCGATATAAAATGGAGCAAGGTGACCACCCAAACGAAAGAATTCAAAATTTTCCGCTACACAGTCTAGATGAATAAACATAAGAGAAGCAGAAAATAAGTCAAAAACTTGGTAAAGATGCTATCAAGAGTATCAATTCTATGTTGCAGCATCATGGATTCATCAATTACCCAATAAAATGCAGGTAGGAAATTTAATGAACTGCTTGGGACCAGACATTCTCGATATATTTGAGTCATTTGAGCTGACCGAAGCGGAAAAAAAGGATCCAGAAATAATAATAAAAAAATTTTCAGAAGGATTTGATAAATCAAATCAGTATCGAACGTATACAATGCTTACGTATTCTTCAGTAATGACAAGTTCAACAAATATAAATACAAAATAGTTTGGGATAGTTTCGAATCGGTCCAAAGCAGTACGAGCTTCTAAACAAGATTTTCCCATGTACGTCGTGAATTTTGTTGGATGCACATGAGTTTATGCAACAGATTCATAACCTTCAAGCGTTCTTAGCTGGGAGATACCCTTTTAAACAAGTTGAAGAATAAAGTTATTGAAAACAATCAATCAAGATTATGAACAATGGGCCTATGAGCTCCATCAGCTCATCGTCCTATCTTCAAGTTAGGATAATAACTAAACGTTCTTGAACTGTTATCTGCTGGAAATCCCCAAGACCAATCTGGAGAATGGTGGTTTTGAATGAATCTGTACTCAGATTAAGCATTCAGGGATCATTTCTGGTATATGGTATTTGGTATAAGAATATTTTAGTAAAGGAGGTTCAGGTCAAGAAATTTAAGAATTATTTCATGTTAACATTATCATGACCCTAACCTAAAGATGTCCTCGATGCACGTGAGTCAAGAGTCAAGACATATCATATTTTCGAAAAAAGAGGATGAGAAAACGGGAAAACACATTTTCGTGTATCTGGTTTCAAAACTATTCCAGACTTGTTTAGGATTGAATTTAATGCGCAACTGATTCTGTGCAGTATGAGGACCGTTTCAACAATTAGGAACACGAATTCGGGTTCCGATTTCAGTCGCTTCGAATCCTAGGACTGTTTCAGAACGGTTCACAAATTATGAAAACCCGAACGCGGCGGAAGAGAACCTCTGAGAACATAACCTCTATTGAGAATTTCTTTATTGGAATAATATCCTGGAGCTGCAAACCCTCCTTTGAATCTATCCAAAATATCCTGGAGATCCCCTGTGGAGGAATAGTAATTATATTCTATCACAAGCATTTGTAGCAAGTTTTTCAACAAGTTGTTCCTTGTACCTACATGAATTTCGACATCCACCTGAAATGATCATTGAATTGGCAAAATCTCCCCAACATAATCCTTCATATTTTTCAGTTTATCCATTTAGCAAATATAATATAGTGTGCTACTCAGGTATCTTGAATTAGTTCATTCTTTCATGACCTACGTATCCCTGAGGTGTTTTTATGTGCCGCAGGTATATTATTTTTCAAAGTGTATAGGAATGAATATCAACTTTGTTATCAAATTTGTGAATCGTAAATTTAAGTGTTATTTTTTCAATCTAGCACAATTTACTTCAATTTAGAACAGTTTGGGGTTGGCTTCTAGTACAAATTGAAAATCTGAAACGGCAACACTGCAGCGCATTCTATCCGCTGGTCTCTGAAGGTCTGGAAGGAGAGAGAAAGGATTGTTAGTGTTATAGAGTTTTCGTTCGGTTCTATCAATGGTTCGCTGACGCTAGTGGAATGTTTCGATTGTAGAGGGCACTGACGATAACATTTCCGCAAGGTGGATAGAGTCCAAGGATTGTTTAATTCAACAGAGTTTGATGACAAGACCCTTGTCGATTGGTGCACGTATTCAAGTCAATTATTGACAATGACAGATTGACAGATATCTCAAATTTCCTTCAATTCGACTCTCAACGTTTATGGTCTTGAAACTCATTCAATATTTTCTGGCGGATAGAAAGAGTTGTACAAGAAATTCTCCAGATCCAACTTTGAGGTCGAATTGATCTTAATATTATACTAGAAATATAGTTGAACCCCTACCAATTGTTGTTCATTTTATGAACATTTATTTGAATGACTTTGAGCTTTTTTGTATTCATTTTTTGTAGATGTTGTGTGAGTATAGTGTCAGTGGAAATAAATACTGTTATACTTCCGGTTGAGTATTTCAGATTTATTTACCATCTGAATAGCTATAAGAAATGATATTCCAGCTACAGTACTAACACCAGGGAAAAGATCCTTCTTTGGCAAACGGAATTGGTGCAAACTCTTCATAGTTCATAGAGACCGTGGAATAAATTATTTATGCGCGGTTTTGGATAATGTCTTAAGTTATTGAAGTGATTTTCTTGTTCCACCAATAATGGTAGGTATATTCAGACATCTTAACAATACTTAAGAACTAGCATAAGCATTGTTTTCATCTTACAGATTTTCTCCTTTATAAATTTGCTAATGATGAAGGATCAATCCTTCCAAAACATGTCCTTATGTCCATGACCTTTGGTCATTATTGAATTGTTTATGTGGTGGAGTTGTGATTGTAAATTCTTTCACCACTCCTGATATATATCTATGATATGAACGTCGGGGTTCAGATATATGAGCTTCCTATTTTGATCCATATAATTTATAAATAAAATAGAATACTGTTGAAGAGTAGATTAGGAGAATGTTCATTTTGTTTAGAGAGGTACGTATAATACAAAAAAAGCATAGTAATAAATTCAGTAATGAACTACTTACTCTAGGTAATCGAGGAGGTGGAATATACATCTGTAAAAATGTTTGGAATTTTCTCTCCCAGCGATAGTCGATGTTACCATGCTTGAAAAATGTTCAAAAACGTACAATTTTGCTGAACACCCTTACATACGGTGTATTTCAAAACCTACGTTTACATGAACTCAGTACTTAGAATTAGAATCACCCGTAAAATCACCTATTAAAGTTTGGCCACATACTTCAATAACACCTTGTATATGTATATATTTAATTATAGTATACCCGTGTTTTAAGTGACATTCATGAAATGTGTACCATAATTATGTTATTTTGAGTGGTTCAACTGGCTGGGATGGGACATAAAACGGAATATGTGGTCCAGTAGGCGGATTGTTGGAAATAATCACTGAATGTTTCCCGCAGATAATAGTAAAGATGCCATTGGATCTTAAGTGGTGGATAATAAGCTTGTAATAAGTACCGAGCGAATTTCAATTTCTCTCTACGTCAAATTATTTTAATTACCCGCTTGTAGAATCAATTAAGGAGATCGAGATAAATCGCAATTATATTATGCTCACCGACTTGAAAATTACCCATGAAGTAGTTTGTTTATAGTAGGTAGATATATAGCTATGAATTTTATCACACGAGCGATGATTCTAACTCGAATGATTAAGTTTAGTGTATGGAAGAACTGGAAGCTTCAGCTAAACATTCCGTCAGGTTGAATAAGATCTGAAAACAAATTACGCCAATGGGTTTCGTGCAAGAACAGTCAGATGACCGACCCTGAAGGTGAAACATGGAAACACAAACTCACTTTTTTTATTAATGTTTGAAATAGTTTTTCACAATTATTTTGGCATAAGAGTCGTTTTTTCCGGCTATTCATTAATTGGCGCATGCCATCACATTTTACTGTTGTAGAATGCACAAAAAATGCAGCAAGAGACGAAGGAATCCGATTGGTACATTATGATTCAATAGTGAGTACGTACTATAGTCACTCACATGTAGTTTTCATTCTGAAATTTGGTAATTTCTCTGATTTCTCATCGGGATTCTTTCTGCAATAGGAGCTAATAGAAAATACTCGTGAAATTTTTAAAAGAATGCAAGAAGAATGGATTCATATGCTATCAAACAGGAGGACTGGTCTGACATGCTGACGAAATATGATCATGTGTGTTATGGACATTTTCAATCTAATAGCAATATTAGCTTCTATTGCAGAAGTGGCAGGAGGAATTTTAATAAGTAATGACGAAATTCCATAATGAAAACTATGTGAGATTACTATTTACCTGATAAATCATATTCCTTCGTCTCTCGCTGCATTTTTTGTGTATTGTATAACAGCACAATGCCAATATATTGTGAAAAACTATTTCAATCCTTTGAAAACAAAAAAAAGTGAGGTTGTGTTTCAATGTTTTATAGAAAAGTGAGATTGTGTTTCAATATTTCACCTTCAGGGTCGGTCATCGTGCACGCGACCTATTTAGCATTCACCTCTTGCTGAATTCATTTAAGAAGTTCGTCTTCGATTGATTGTTCAAGATTTCATACTCAATAATCTTTGGCCTTACCATAACGGACTTGAAAAAATGGCGAAGGTTCAAACTAAATTTTTGGAGAGACGGATTCACCATATTTGCGTAATCATGCTTGAGTAACCCAGATTATTAGATCAAGAGATCGAAAATACTGAAATGGTTCTTAATGTTTAAATGTACCTAATAACGAAATTGATGCATGCTTTCTAAAAATTATCAACAATACTTAATATCATGTTGCCGAGCAACATCATCACCATTCTGACAGAATTATGCGAGAAGATATTAAGAACGGAATGGTAATTTAGGTATTCTGCTAGACTATTTCACGAATCATAAGAAGCATATGGTATTTGGGATATTATTGGAGATAATTGATTTTGCTTTCTATTTCCTCGAGAAGAATCGACATGGAAATGTGGACTTCTCAAAATGTCTCCCATCGGAACAAGCTTGCTCGGTAATGATGTTTATGTAGGTATATCATGTGGAACTAGGAAACTAAGAAAGATTTCTAAAATGTAAAAAAGTGAAAAAAAATATTTCAAATATAGGAACCTAATGGTCAATACCCCTGTCATTTTTTTCGATTTCAAAAAGAGCAATGTACAATAAAAACCATCATCATAAATCGATTTCATGAATCTGTGCAGCTACAATAGATACATTGTGGTGAAATATGGGGAATATTTCAATGTAAAAATCATTTCATACTTGAACATGAGAGAGATTATCAGATATGATATGGCGAGAACCAAAATTTTAGTTCAAACTGGTTCTCGACCACAGTGGTCGAGAACTAAAAATATTCGAATTGGAATAAGACCATCAATGAATGAATTGCAGAATTAATATTATTTGGGCCTTAGTTGATGATCGCAAACTAATATTTAATAAGTAGATATGTAAATGAAT